TTTATATCCTTCCGCTGCTTGTGTGTCATTTCTGCTTCACTTGTAATTAGTACACCTCAACCCTCATATCTTCAAGAGCCAGGGGATGCTTGTTTGTAACATTCAACAGGTAATCAAGACTGATTAGGCACTGCACATCGCCTAATTTCATTAGATCTCAGAAGCACACTATATCTTGCATAACTGCAAACACGTGGTCTTGTGGAAAAAAACCCACAAGTAGCAACAGAGGCTTATAATTATGATCATTAAGCTCTAGATACAGAATTTAAATGTTATTCACTAAAATGGAACGTTAATAATGCAGATTTACTCAGCCACATGTTTCTAATTGTGTTTAAAACTCATTTTGTTTCTCTTACGTATGATCAATTTTTAGGTCATACACTAATTAATTAAATATACCACTGTTTTATGCTAAAACAAAATAAACATGTAGCTTGTGTGCATTGTGCGGCATTCTCTTGAGTGAATGTGTTCTGTTCACTGTGTCACATGTGGACTCCTTCTGTATTACTGTGAAGCCCTTTAAGTGTGCTGTGACATGTCCTGAAGTCCTTGTTTAGCACCTCTCTTTGTGTGTTAGGGGTGTGAACTGATACCTAGTGTCAGCTAGCGTCAGGGACAGAATGGCAAGAGAGAGATAGTTGAGGTTCTACATAAACGGATAGGCCTTGAGGATAAGCCTTGTGGAAGCAGGAGGCACAAAGTGAGAAAGAAATGGAAATGGAGGAGAAAAAAAGTGGAGAAAGAAATGGAGGCGACTGACAGAGAGAAATGGGGCTTTAATAGAGGGATGTCAGTTTTCTCCAATTTAATGCAGGACGAAGCTGTTTTCTTGGAATTAGATGGTTGAATCAATGAAGCTTTCCAGTCATTATTTAGTGCACAGTGACATCAACTGTTGTTGCATTCATCACCCGGCAGAATAAAAGCAAAAATTGTTTTTTTGCAAGGCTTAACCTTATCACCACTTGTCAGTTAATTATGCATCGAAAGCAAGGGGCATGGGTTCAACAGTGAAACACTTTGATTGAGCCCTTTGAACTCAACCGGGAAAGAAATCAGTTCTCTTAATCCTTGCTCCTATGTAATCATGGTAGCCGGAGGATACGGACCTCTGTGTCCATCATCTCCAGGCCAGCCAGCGGCTGCAATATTGCTAATGCAATCACCTCTGTGATCTGAACTTTGGAACTTTGAAAGAAAATAAATAGATAAACATGTCAAACATGAGGTAAAGAAGAAAAACGAAGGTGTAAATGAGTCATTTGCAAAAGGTTCTTACAGTGCGGACCTATAGAACTTTTCCAGCTGGTCTCAATAGCCTCGGGTGATATGAGCGACGTGATGTATGATCTTTACTTGTATGATCTTTTTGATCACAGGAGTAATGCTCCTCCTATCAGCACAGGTCACGCTCTTCAAGTTGTTCACACTTTTCATCAGAGACTAGCACTGAAAGATCTGGCTGTAAAGTCAGATGATACATGCATACATGTCAGTATCTGGCGTAAGTATATTTCAGGAAGTGTGGGTAGATGGTGGGAATCTCAAAGCTTTAAAGGCATCTAAGTCAGTGTTTGGAACATAGCTAGATATGCAGAGATCCATTTTTTATTTTTTTAATTCCCAAACTCATAAACACTCCAGATCAAGGGCCAAACGCACCTGTGTTTCTGTCCTAGATAAATCTATTGCCGCAATTTATCAACTTTGATTGGTTAGCACTTGGACTATCAAAGTGGAAGCTTTCATAATTTAGAAGCAGCTCTAAATGTAGTTGGCCAGGCTATATCCAAATGTTTAAAAGTCAAGTGAAGGAAGGAGACGGTTAGACCTGAAGTTATGTCCTCCAAGGGAACTTTACAAAGATCCTCTTGCAGATTTATAGCCACTTACCAAGGAGCCAGAGTCAATATTCATAAACATGGCTTCAAACAAAGCCCCCCATCCACTATCCCTGCTTGTAAATAAATACAGATACGTCTTTTTTACAGACAGAGGCAATCTAAAATATTACCCCCAGCATAATTTTACCACACACATTAATATTTTACAGCACATTGTATTTTACCGCATTGAATCTTAAACTTTCATGACTGGCCCCAAGGATTTTATTCTATAGGAGCCTGCATCATTATTAGCCAAGATCTATTGCTGGTACAGCAAATACCTTGCCTTTGTGTTCGTCGCTATTTTATAGATCATATTTCCATAATATGTCTTTTGACTTGAGTGACTTTGTTATTGACTTCTAAATGATCACATTGTATTTGCTCAAGACTAAAAATTCTTTGCTCTAACTTGGTCTCGCTTATGAAGTTAAAAAAATGTCTGTAACTAAACCTGAAGTGCACAACAGCACACGCCCTGACGCTCCTTTGCCATTTGTTTTTACTTTTTATTATCGTTTAGTAAAATTGCCATCCATGTACCGATTTCTAATTAGCTTATGTAATGGTGAGACCCTATTAAGTCAAGTTTGAAGTGTTTAGTTTTTCCACTAAACATGTAAAAACCCAACCTGCACAGTATCTGCCTCATTACGATGGGAATAAACGCTAACATCTGCATGTGTGCGTTTGCCTCTGTGCTGGTGTTTATGTCTGTGTGGTGATTTAAGTGGTTTTAGTGTCAGAACAAGTCTAATGAGCTGGTGCAATAATTATCAGCCATTTTGCTCTCACTTAAGCTAATTGAGGCTTTATATTAGAGATAATACTGCTGCCTATGTGCACCGCTTTACAGTTACCGAAATGTTTGGCCAGAAATAGTGCTACCAGTAATTTAGGTTTAATTTGTGCATGTCAATGTTTTAATATCTCCCTATTAAACATATTTATGAGCTTTGACAGTCGTCCCCAGATGGAGGTCATTGATCAACTCCTTTTTCTGTGTATTCTTCATATGATGATAAATAACTATTGTATACAATAGTGTCAAAGTCAAAGAGGACAAAAAGTTGTCTCTTTTCACTCAGTTGGCTTTAGAAGTGCATGTTAATGTTTGATCTTGGATTTTCTTCTTCAAATATATATATATATATATATATATATATATATATATATATATATATATATATATATACACGTGTGTGTGTGTGTATGTATGTATATATATATATATATGTATGTATATATATATATGTGTGTGTGTGTGTATATACATATATATGTATATATAATTTTTTTTATGTTGTTTTCACTAATTTCTGTAAAACAAAGAAATTAATTTACTGTATAAAATACAGAGGGTCACCATATACTGTAAAAGTGATATTAAATAAGTGGCTTTCCTTTCAAATTCTCTCTGCACTTTATCCCAAGTTGTCTATCGTGTTTCTTCCACTTTTCCTCCTTTTACACTTTTCCTTCATGTATTCGAGGCGCTTTGTGAAATTCCTGTCTAATCCAGGTGTGTATGAGCTGATCCCCAGGCCCCTTTGCTCCTTTCAGGAATCTCGCAGGCTATCGGGCTCTCCTGGGCCTCTGTTTCACACACCAAATTGATGCCTCCGACTGGAGATGACACTTTCAGCAGGATTTGCCATTCTAAACCACCTCAAGCCCATGTGATCTCACCCATTCACTCTCAGAGGGATTGCCTTGAAATGCACCTTAGCTTCAAAAAACCAGTGAGCACAGAATGCTTGAATGAAAAGCTGATACATATTCTATCGTGCAGAAAAAGAGAAAAGATATTCAAAAATGCTAGAGAAGTAGAATCATATTTTTTAGTCCCTCTGAACAAAGACCAACAATCCCACGAATAAGTAGTTATTACCTAGTGGAATGCACTGAAAGAGTGAAACTAAAAGAAATCAATAACCACATGAATTTTCATGTGTACGTGCTTGTCCGCCATTTGCTTCATCTGCTAAATATCTGTCTCAGCTGGTCTGTCTATCAATACAGACACAGATGGTATGATTAATACGTGCCATTCAGAGCTTACCATCTTTTTCTAACACTCCATTTAAAGGAGGAGCACAGTGACCATGTTGCTTTGCTTGAGTACTAGTTATGATATAATTTGACACTGAAGGAGACGGAAAAGGGAAAAGGTGTGACCAAGAATTCCTCCCTTGACTTATTTTCATCCCCAAGTCTTTTTGGGGCTACACGTTTCTCCAAGGGGGCTTTACACGCTGGCATAATGGATAAGGGCAAGGGTGTGAAAGGAGCACCTTAAGGCTCCTCATTCAACTCTCCCAATCTCTCCTGCACACACTCTTGAGCTGTGAAGGCCGTCTTTCTTTACCCTGCTAGCATGGGAGCCCTGTAATAGGCTCTAATTGATAGGGAGGTGTTGGGGTCTTTCTGTATGGGTTGAAGGGATGAGGGAAAGAGAGAGAAAAGGGGGGAGAGACAGAGGATTACATGTGGGCATGTGGGTGGAGCGGGGGAAAAGAGGCAAGAGGCTGTGGAGCGGTCTAGGCCCCGTCCGTAATGAGTCATTAATTTCCTAGCAGTTTTGTGGCGGTTGGCTCATTACTGGTCTGCAAAGGAGCAGGAACAAAGCTCCGGGTAGGTAGGAGGTGAGCTTAAATAGTTGGGGCTCAACACTTTCCAACAAAAGGAGGAAGAAAACGTTGAATGGCACTTGGAACAGATGCAGTAAAAAGTGGCAGATGCAAATTGCGGGAGAGCAAGTCTCCCTTCAAGCACTTTTCTCTTTTTTATTTTGTCAGACTGCAGCCTGAGAGTCTAATTAGTTAGTGAGGTGTTTCACTTCTGATAGGGCTGTGTCTTGTTATTGTCACAAAGAGGATCCATAGAAATGGGAGGCAACACATATGTTGCACAGTCCCCAGTGGAACCTGCTTGCTGCTATGCTTTCATTAATTTTTTTTTTTTACCCTATAGAAATCGAAAGATGTACGATATTTCCATGCTTTGAAATTGTGTTCTACGGAGTTTAAAATGTGATAAAAGAGATGATGCCTGCAGGTAATTAATTATATTCCTAATTACGTGTTTATGCTTTTCACCCTACAGCCAAAATGATTATGGACAAATTGGCAGCGGTTCTAATGAAAATGCAGTTGTTCCCCGCTTTGTGGAGCGTGTGGACCATGTGTCGAAGGTCACCTGTGGGGCAAACCATAATCTTGCACTGACAGGTACTGTAATGCACTGTGTATGTCTGCTTGGGTTACATGACATTTAATCACAGTAATGTTTTAAATGAATAAATAAGGATTGAAAATATTTAAGTTTTGAAAAAATGGACTGAATTTTTCATGTGTGAACTGGACCCTAGTTTGTCCATCAAAATGCATAGAAGGATCCTATTGGCGACTACTTAGAATTTAGATTTGTGTGATATTTTTCAATTTTATTTGTCTTTTTCCCTCCCTTTGGGCAAGGGGAAGTAAAATGCTCAAGCAGAAAACACCTTTAAGAAGGGGTGGCTAACATTGTTGTCATCAGCTGTCATTGCAGTTCAGAGTTGGCTTCTTTTAGTCAAAGTACTCGAGCCCTCCATCAGCACATCACCTGAGAGCGTTACACAGAAGGAGGGGGCTGGGGTGGTGGTGGGAGCGAGGGAGAGAGTTAGTGAGAATATGGCCCTGGCTCCTGATCCATAGCAGTCATTGCCTGTTACATACATTTCAGAATTCATTCAGGCTATGAAGATAATCGGGGTAGTCGACAGTTTCCCCTGCAGCCCAATGGATTTATGATAGCACTGTCAAGAAAATGAGGCAAAATGACACAGTAGCTGACTTTAGCTGCAAATAATGTGATAGGCCGTACAGTGGTGCAGCAGCAGCTGCTGTCATTGCAGGTAATAGCCTATAAAGAAGCCTGATAGCAATACCTGTCATTTCTTAATGGCTGACTTCACTGAAGAGCTTTTGTGGCCTTTAACATGAAGATAATAGAAGATACAACAAATTTTACAGCTTTTGCGTTGCATCCATAATTTATCTCTAGAGACCCCCACACAGCAGCCGCACAACAAGGACAACATGCTCCGAGATGCGTGCTGCAGAGAGATGCAAAATGAGCTGCAGGGGGTTGGAGGCCCCTCCGGTGGGGTGCTTTGCTTTTAATGGAGGAACCGTACAGGGTTCAGTACATGTTCTATCACTTGGTATCTCATATCTGTTGTATAAGATAAAAGGACCTGAGTATTCAAAAGTTTGGACTTTTGGGGGGGAACTTACAAATCATCGCTGAAACTGTATTCATTTCATTAATAATTTACCACAAATATTTATTGGCTTAAATTGGAAGTGTAATTGTTTACTACTTAAACTCAATTTATTAACTGATGATGCAGGTGATGGGAAATTGTTTCAGTGGGGATGTGGACGGTCATGTGGAAGCACAAAGGGAAACATCCTGTCCCCAGAGGAAGTGACGCTACCAGATTCGCCAGTGAAAGACATTGCTGGTGGATGTTGGCACAGCCTTCTTCTAACAGGTTTGTCTCTGCTTATGTTTGAAGGCTATTACAAACATACCATCACCTGCCAGCTGTTGATGCATATTTCAGTTCAAAGCACATGTGGACATATAAGTTAACAGTGTGGATGACCTCTATGACATTATAAGGGATACGCTGAAATTCTACATGCAGTTCTGATACAAATTTAAATAACGATCTGACCTCAAGCAATGCTTATACGAGTCTTTTGTTGCACATTTTCATTATTTATTTCCCATTTTGTGCCACTGAGACCTAGAACTCTTCATTATAAATACGCAACTGCCTTTCAGCCTTTCATCACAACTTCATAAGTTCAAATGTGTACAACTTTTTGATACTCGATCCCATGTGTAATACTGCTAACGTAGTGGGAAACAACAGACAAACAGCCTCTGGTGAGCATGAACTCATTTTCAGATAAGCTGATAGCGATCATCATGGAGAATACTGGCCAATACCGATGTTTGGCTAATAAATCAGTGCCTTAGTGTCTTAGCCCGCACACAGACATTTGAGTGTGTGCTTTTAGCCGTGGTGTCCATTTATCCACATCGTTCATTAAGAGCTCTCCCAGGGCTTGAGCGGCTACATAAACACAGAGGTTGAGGCCACAGCTGCTCTTTCACCTCACCGCGGAGAACTTCAAAGTCACTTCTCCCCACACGGCAGATGAATGCGCCGTGTCTGCCAGGCTGATATATTGGCCCCAGTTGCTGTCTTCTTACTGTAGTATGACTGCAACTGAGGCCCCATCATGGAGCCTGAGTTGGGCCATTTGTTAGTTTTAGCTGTATCTCCAAGACCTGGCTTCAATTCTGAAGGGAGAACATTAATCCTTTTAATACAACACTTTGTAGTGCCGTTTTCCTGTGTTGGGAATGCCGTCTATTATTAACCCCATTAAAAGTGTAATACAATTTAAGTAGAGTGCTAAAAGTGGATCATTTGTTGCTCCGTTCTGTTTGAATTAATTCTCAATTTATGATCTAAATGATTAAACTATAGGAGTCACGGCACCAAATGAGATTCTTAAACCGCCAGGCATACATTTACACATATTAATACAAACATTTATGAGCTCACATTCACACTGATTGACCAAGTAAAAAAGACACACACTCACATGGCTGTGTGTTGCAGTCCCTCTTCCAAATCCTGTAATGTCCCCAGCTTGATCCCTAGTTCCATTCTGTCAGGAGGAAAAAGAAATATCCATCTCCAATCAGGCCTTAATGAATAGCCTGATGAGTGTCGGGCAGAACTGAATTACCAGATAGATTTGAAGAGCATGAGTGTGTACAATGTGTGTGTGTGCACGAGTGTGTGTTCGTGTATCTGTGTTCAGTGGTTGGGAGGGGGTAGTTAGAGGGCCAGTAGAACAGGACACATGTAGGAATTAATTCTCTCCAAGTTAAAAAAAGAAAGAAAGAAAAAGAAATTGGCTAACTCTGTCATTTGAGCCTGATGGAATCGCCTTATCTATTGGTATGAGTTTTCATTTATTAGGGTCAAACAGCAGAGGGATACACAACGAATAGGAAAGAAGGCTTTGGGAGAGAGAAAAGTCGAAGTAATGAGGGGTCAGATTTGAAAATTGGAAAGAAAGTGAGAGAAAGAAGAGGAGTAAGTCAAAAAGTAGAGAGATGGGGAAGATGGAACAAAAGGAGTGCAAGGGAGTCAGTGGTATGAGAAACAGCTTGCCAGGGCCGGAGCATATTGAGGGCAGCAGGTGGAAGAGTGGCACAGTTAATTAAAATGCCTGTCTTAATGTCTCAGCCCGTCACTCCAGGGAGAGAGAGAGCGAGAGAGAGAGAGAGTTGCCAGGCTTGAGCTGGGCTGTACCCAACCAGCCATCTAGACAGCAAACCAACCATCCAGCCAGCCCACCAGGCCACATGTCAGACAAGCCCTGACACTATGCCCTTCACCCCCTCTTCATCTTGTGCCATACACACTCACAAATGTCCACAAGCATACAACTTGTCCAAACCCCACCAACTATTTCCTCCTCCTTTTCTTTTTAAACCCATACGCTGAAACCTATCGAAGCCCCCCTAATCTGACAAAGAAGAGAACAAAGCCCCTTCTTTAAAAAAAGAACAAACGCACTTCTGATGTTACTGTTTTACTCAGCAGCATCTGTAACCTGCCTCTAGACTAGCAGCCGTGCAGCCTTGCAGCATAATCTGTCTGCTTTTAATAATTCATAGAAAGCACAGGCTGTGCACTATGTACTGAATGCTGAGGGTAATGGGGATGTTGTGATATTTCTATCATGGCCTGTCTGAATCAGCGAGCGAATCAAAACCAGCAAAGATCTGATAAGCGGTCTGTCTTGTAACAGCATTGGCTGTCATCACTGCTTCATAAGTGGACTATAGCGAATCCTTTCTGCTGTGTCAGCTATAATGCTTCTAATTGTGATGTATAATGGATGTTCAACCAAGTTTCATGTGACAGCAAATCGCAGATTCATGCTTTTACACAAAAGGCAAAGATAAACCTGATATGTTGGCATCACTGGTGTATCAATATCACAAAAAAAAAAATGCACAGGATGATACAGACCAAAGTGAGTTAATGCTTGTGTCACTTCATCTGTGACTGTGTTGAAGAGCCATGCACTATTGTCTTCACTGCAGATATACCTACAACCTGATCATTTTCCTTTCCTATTAATCATATTCACCATATATACGTATATCAAGGATATTAGATGATATATTTCAATATCTGGATTTCTTTGTATCTGTGCCACTCTTTATTGGTCACACTCTTAAATATAATTCTGGACAATCCTTACTTCTTATTGTACTAAAGCTGTGCTCAGCTGAAAAAGGGAAAACAAAGAGTGTGAGCATCTTTCCGAGTGTGAGGTGCGTCTAGATTTGTACGTTGTGTCGTTTGACTAATGTTTTATCAGGTTTTGCTGTATCACTGTGGATTGCTTTGTCAATAACCAGGCCGTTGCCTCAGTGAGCAAAAATCTGAGATTGTCAGGCTGAGTGACAGGCTGGAGATGGCAGATAATTCAAAGAAATTGGAAGTTTGAAATCTTTAAGGGCCACTTCTTAACACAGCAAATGCCAGGGTATCTTTCCATCAGCTGCTGCTCTCACAAGCTACCGCATTGTTAATGGTGGCCTGTCTGTCCATCAAGTCAGCTTCAGGAGGGATTTAGACCTGTTTGGCACCTTATCTCTCCGACTGCCTCCTACTAACCTGACCGATACACAGGTCTTGAGTAACCTGTATGTTCTGTGTAGCCAGTGGTGGTTGTAAACCTATCTCCAGAGTAATATTTTTTTTTCCATTTGATTTGCTTATTTGTAGATATTAGTTTATCTGTGACACAGAGTATTGATATATTTATTGTTACACAATCAGGGGTCTAATGTAATGGTGCCTGTAGCACTTGTTAATTTAGCTGTCAGCGCTACTGATTGACCTTAAATTGTTGCAGGAGAGCTCATTGTCCTTGTGAGTGAGCTTCTGTGTCTGCTGTCTGTCTGTCTGGATGGATGTAATAAAAGCAGTGTCTGCTTTCAGTTTCAGGCAAAAACATTGCTCTGAAGAAGAAACTCAACATGTCAATCAGCGACAGGGGATAACTGCTTCCATGAGTCACGACTATAAAAACGTCTTTATTTTGTAAGGCCTCATTAGATATTAAGCAGTTCAGAAGAAAATATTTTTAGGCAAATTTGTGTGATAGTTAAATATTTGCTCGAAAGCTTTAGGAAATCGTATAAATGTAGTCCATTCAGGTCCACTCTATCTTACCAAATAAGGATTTTCCCTAAAGTGTGAAGAGGAGATAATGGAATCAATGTCTTCTATGAATATACATTTCATTAATATTAGAGATCTGGGGCATTTGAATACCCAAAATTAACCTAAAAGTAATCTGAAATATAAGTTAATTATTAGTTTGATAATGAGGTTTATGATTAAGAAGTTAATAAAAGAAACAAAAAAGTCCTTTTTGTGCTAAAAAATAAAAATAAAACCACTGCTTCACGTCAGAGCGCTGAGATGGTTTTTGTATGTGTGCTGGCAGTGCTCCAGTGTAAGTATTACTATTATGAACAGTAGCGCACTGACCTAGCTTGCGCTCACTTTGTCCTTCTTTCCCTCACTCACTACTTATGCTTACACAGAATCACACGGTCACTCATTTAAGACTCAGGTGGGAGAGTACATATGGAAACAAGGGGAGGAAAGTAATCAAAGTAAAAAAAAGACTGCTCCAATTTGGAATCCACAAATGCTTCGAGTCGGTCCTCCGTTTGTTTGTACAGAGAAATAATGTGAGAAAATAGACAGAGAAGCGAGGAGGATGACAGAAAAGGATCCTGAGAGAGGAAGAGAAATAAACAAAAAGGACAAGAAAGAAATATGTCCCCTATTTTCCCCTTGTAATGGTTTCAATTCCCTGCCAGAGCTCCCTGTCACAGGGAGGTAGTTCCCAGGCTGACACATCTCAAGCTGTTTAAACATCCATTAGGATGTTTTGGTTCATACACTCTACAAATACAGCTAGATGAGAGAGAAACTGGTAGATGATGATAGGGAAATTGAAGAAGAAAGAAAAGAGACAGAGAAAAAGAGAGAGGGGGAAGAGGGGAGTAAGTTGATGGGAACAGCAGATAGAGGAGAAGAGGAAATTTATCAAAAAACTCATGTGATATTTAATGATCCTTGTATGTGGAGAGAGAAGACCACACCAGCTCGTTCTCCTCCGCCAAATACCGATCCCCTAACTTAATTTCCTGCTCAATTGCTGTTCTATAGTGCATAGTACAGTGATACAGGCTGGTAATATAGAAAACAGATTGCCTGTGCGGCGGAGTGGATAAGGCTGAGGCTTGTGTTGCTGGAGACCTGCAGTCTCCAGGGGGGTCTTGTCGGTGGGCTTCACAAAACCAACAAAGCCCATCTTTCCCTGCGACTGGCAGCAGCTGGCAGGTAGATCTTCAAGCAGTGGAGGTGGG